CTGGAAGTGTTTTTTTTTTCTAGCTGTTAATCATCTACGTCACCTAGGCTTTCAGTTACTGCACTCAGGGCAAAAAAAATCCACACTTTTTAATTTTGATGTGAATTCTGTTCTCAAATATATGTAATTTTATCAAATTATTTACATTAATTTATTTCATCCTGCAACCAAGTTTGACTTCTGTCACATTTAAGTTGTTCCTACTTTTCTGTATCACTTTGTCATCTGGAATTTTTTACAAGGGAATCAAAACGATTACTAATTTTTTTGCATATCATTCAGATGGGAATAGATCACTTCAGGATCTTATTGATCCTCTTATTGATTAACAGTTCTCAATTGACTACTTTTTGAAATTTATAATTTCATCAGCTAATTAATTAATGTGATAAAACCCATTAAAATGGATAAAATCAACCTCCTGTACACTGACCCCCTCTAGATACATTTTGATGCAGCCATCACTAGGACTAGACTACTCTAAAAAGAATCCAAACACTGAAATTCTCAATGAATAGTTAAAGTCCAATGTCTTGGGCTTTAATTAAAATTGATAATTATTAAAAAAAATAACAAAACTGGTCTTTTTAGAGAACTCCATCATATATGAAATAAAAACAGAAGTATTTTCATATTGTGTATATTCTCAAAACATCACATATCATGCAATGGTTTACATGTGCCTTAACTATAAAAGAACTGGTAGACTACATATCTTATTACCCAAAAATATTGTCACAATTCTAAGGAATAAAAATGTTAGCAATGTTTTTATGCACAAGATCCTAATTTAGTTCTGTTCTGCCTAAGGTATATGTAAGCTAATTCATTTGAAAAACTTGTTATATTTATTTAAATTCAATAAAGCTTATCCAAACTCCAGGCATTACTTAAATACTGAAGATAACAGGATAAAATTATTAAAAATCATCTTTAATAAAAATAAAATGCAAATCCTAAGGATGAAATCTGTGGGGGTTGAGTTAAAATGTTTCTGATATTTATAACATGAAATCTAGGAAACAAAAATGTCATTACTGTTGAAATTTATTCCTTGTATTATGTGAAGGTATGCTTCATTCTGGAAGACAATGATCAACAGAAGGGTACAAATACATAATGAATAAGAACACAAATATTACAAGAAAAAAAAAAAATTCAGCATGAATGGCAGATGTAGACAAATTCCTAGCCTAACTACTGCCCAACTAGAAAGTGGTTAGATAGTTAACTAACAACATTTATGGATGAAACTAAGTTGTTCAAAGTAGAAAAACTATAAAAGACTTGTTCTATGTCAACCTGCACAAAAGGAAGTGGAGGACAGTAGATAAAACAAGCTCAGAGAAAGAAGAAGAAAAATTATTTGTCACATTAAGTATAATTAAGCTGTAAAACTCCTTGCTTTCAGAACCTGTGGGTACCAAAACTTAAACGTTTTCAAATAATTGAAGAACATTCATGAATACTATTTTACAGCTTCCCCCTTTTACCCCGTCTTATAGTTCAGTAAGGCCCTATCCACACTCTGCTGATTGGGTAAATATTGCTACATTCTGTTCATCCTTATACATTTTTCTTGATATTTCTTGTTGGCTAAGAAGGAAGTCAGGATACTGGGAAAAATAAGTTTTTACTATGAACAACTATAAGGAGAGGAGGGGGGTCCACAAGAATTAAGACTTAGTTTTGTATCAATAAATAGTTATGTTTCTTACCTACCATAAAACTATGAATGATATGAAGCAGCTTCATACAAGTGTGCATTTTACATGCAATTAAGTTTCAAATTTCAGTCATATCTTCTCACCTAAATATGTTTCTTTGCATATTTTGAAGAGGGAGCAATAGCTCACAGAAATTTATGGATTTATTATGTTTATTTTCAAAAATAGATTTTGCATTAAATTTTACACTATCATTCATGACTGTTTAGCTGAACTTCATCCATTAAAAGGAAGGGATCACAGGCCATGCATATCTGCAGAGAGGGTTATGTTTGAGCTGAGTCAGAGAGAGACAATGCAGAGTTCTTTCTGGATCTCGATAAAAAGGCCTGACAACAAATGGCCTAATAAATTATGTGTTTTAATAAGATATAATAAAAAGAGGAATATAAATGCCCAATAAATCTCACATCCCTTCTGATGCAGGGAACCCTGCTTATGTGCAGCACTGAGCAGATCCCAGACGGATCTTCACCTGGCACACTGTGCAGATCCTGTCTGTGGAGAGGATCCTCCTTCCTCCCATACCATGGTGTCTTTTATTTTGTGTAATGAACAGAATCATATATCTTCTCATGACAGGCTGGAGCATTATCACTGTCATAGCTACAAAGGTCTGTGTAATGGACTACTGTCAACAAATTCTTCAGACAACTAGAAGAACCCTTGTGTTCCCAGGTCCTTGTCCTTATGGAGGAATTTATTATCCTGATATCCGCTGGAAAGGCAACACAGTAGGGCACAAGCAATCCTTGAGGTTACTAGAGATGATAACTTCTGGACACAAGTGATGAAGAAGATGACAAAGGGTCTGAACCTCACAGTTACAAAACAAAAATAAATGGGTCCAGGACGTGAAGACTGACAGTGGTCTCACCTGCTGTGACCAAGAGATAGTGGACTTCAGGATCCTGAAGGGAGGCAACATGGAAAAAAGTAGGATTATAATCCTGGACTTTGCGAGAACAGACTTTGTCCTTTTCAGGGACCTGCTTGGAGGAATCCCATGAGAGACAATCCTGAAGAGAAGAGCTGACCCAGAGAGCTGGTTGATTTTCAAGCATGAGGATGACCTCCTCCAAGCTCAAAAATCATCTGTCCTCACATTTAGGCAGTCAAGAACAGATGAGGGGAGGCCGGCGTGAACAAGGAGCTCCTGACAAAACTTAGACATAAGAAGAATACCAGACATGGAAGCAGGAACAGGTGACCCAGGAGGAATATAGCAAGATAGCCAAAACCCATCTGGAGTTGCATCTGGTGAGGAACATCAAGGACAAGAAGGGCTACTACAAGTACATCAGCAACAAAAGGAAATGTGGAACTGCTGCTGAACAGGGCAGGGAACTTGGTGATAAAGGACATTGAGATGGGCAAGGTTCTCAATGTATGTTTCACCTCGGTCTTTACCGGTAAGATGACTGATCTTCAGGAATCCCAGGTCTCTGAGACTCTGGGGCAAGTCTGGAGCAAAGAAGACTTAACTCTCAGTGGAGAAGGACCAGGTGAAGGAACATGTAAACAACCTGCACATACACAAGTCCATGGGACCTGATGGGATGCACCCATGAGTGCTGAGGGAGGTGACTAACATCAGCCAATCTCAAATATCTTTCAAGGGTTGTGGATATCAGGGGAGGTTCCTGAGGACTAAAAGAAAACAAATGGCACTCCTGTCTTCAAAGCAGTCCGTTCAGAGTCAAACTAATTCCTGGGAAAGTAATGGAACAAATCCTGAAATTCACACTAAGGACAAGAAGATAACTGAATGTTATCAGTGTGAATTTGTAAAGGGGTGATCTTCTGTGACCAGCCCCATAGCTTCCGATAATGAAACTACTGGCTTTCGTGGGTGAGTAGAGAGCACTGAATGTTGTTTATCTTGACCTTAGCAAGGTTCTCAACACCATCTTCCATAACAACCTCAGAGACAAACTGAAGAAGTACAGGCTAGATAAGTTGACATGAGGTTAAATGAAACCTGGTGACATATAATTCTGAAGAATTATATAGGAAATACTTCCACAATATCCACCCCAAAAAAATGAAAAATTAGTTCCAGATGGTGATACTACTTAACAATTGTCAAATCTAATAGCTATATATGCCTATGCATTTATACATGTGTGAAAATATGCATGTATAAAGATGGACAGAATAGGTGTACTAGGTGTAACACACATACATATTTAAAGATAATACAACTATAAAACTCTTACACATTCTTCTTAAAAGTGTGAAGCTAGGCATAATCAACATCTGTTGCAACAGCAATACCAGATTATTATTTACTAGAAAAACACAAAGATAACAACCCATCTAGTAAACATGAGTACTTTGATTAGCACGTGTTCTGTCCATCTGCTGAAATCTTAAAACAGATTGAAACAAGATTAGTGAATATTTGAGTTATTCGTGCAGTTTCTGCCATCTTTAGGAGGTTTCATTTGAATTAGCTATAAAATAGTCTCCCCTCTTCCTACTTTAAATTACAGTGATATGCAGAATATGTTTTATCCCCTTCTTTGATCAAATGTCTCTATACTGAGCAATTCACCCAAATAAAGGCAAAGAAGGGACAATGACATAATTTTCAAATTGACTAAAATGTTTCTAAGAGACTGAATTCAACAGGCATGACCAACTGGGAAAGGATGCTTTGAAGGACACTAAGTAATGCCTGCCTTACCCATTTACAAGTAATTGTAGTGGTATCTGTTTTGACACACACTGCATTACTTTGCTGCCACAGTATATGTCGATATTTTTGTCTTACTGCACGCACTTTATTGTTAATCTTTCAAGAAAGACGTTTCTCTTCTTTGTGTCTATCAATTTATGTATTTATACTACATGCACAGAAATTTCTCTAAGGCAAAATCTCAGATCCACCTCCAGAAGAGGAAGCCTGACTTCTGTTTATTATGAAGATGCATGTTTTGTCACAAAAAAACCCCACGTATTTGTTCTCAAAAATAAATTCTGAATACTATCTATTCCATATTTCGATTGAGGCATATGTCACAGAAGAGCTAAACCATTTTGGAAGAAACAAACACTACCGACAGGCAAAACAGAGATGCAGAATTGTCTTAACAAATAAATTCTACACTATAGAAACCATTGATGTGAATCTCCTTGCATCCCTTCTTTAAACATTTGCATTTGCCAAAACATTACTATTCAAATGGCTTTATCATAAAAGTTTTACAATTTGCATAGATAGAATTGAAATCTAAACGGATAGTAGAAAGTTTCCAAAAGTTAACTTACATGATCAATTAGTTCACGAACCATTCCATTCCACTGTCCGTTGGCATCTTCCTGAGCTCCATATTTTCCATCCTCCACCAGTCTAATCTCATAGGAAAATCCAAGGATAGTAGACAGCTCCTTGAGGAGGTCAATGCAATAACCTTCAAATCGATCATTTCCGTACAAGGGTTTGTCAGACTTCTTGAACATAACATATGGCTCTTCCTGTAAAAATTAAAAAGACACAACAGAAAATGAGTGCCCCCACACTTTATTTGCATTTTAATCAAAAGTAGTACACTGTTGTGATACCACTCCCTGTAAAAAAACTAAAATGAAAAGTAGAGTCCTTTTAGCTTTTTGCTATTTCTGTCTAAAGTCTTTATTTATCTTCAAACTCAAGTTAGTCAGAAGACTCTTTCTCACTTTTATTGGAAAAAAAATGACACTGTAAACACTGTAGACACATCTTCAAGGAATTCATATCAACACTAAAATAAAATGTGCTCCTCAGCAAATTACATTAGACATTAACATCAAATGCATTGTTTATATGGACATTGTAATCCTCTTAACATGTAGAAATGAGTTTTGGCGACTGAAAAAACACAATTACTTAAAATCTCAAACATCAAATGTTTTAAGTATTAGTTTTACACTTTTCTTTACACAAGTATTTTAAGTGTTTACTAAGTGCTTGTTAGGTATAGAAAAGCCACATGGAGGCACTGGAACAGGTTGCCCAAAGAAGCTGTGGATGCCCCATCCCTGGAGGTGTTCAAGGCCAGGCTGGATGAGGCTTTAAGCAACTTGGTCCAGTGGAAGGTGTCCCTGTCCATGGCAAGGGTGTTGGAACTAGACGATCTTTAAGATCCCTTCCAACCCAAGCCATTCCATGATTCTATGATTCGGACTTGTTAAATTCCTCTGTGAAGAAGTCAGTGAAATTACCTACTGTTCTGTTGCCTCAAGTTATAGGCTGCCATTTACAAGGCTGCAGCAAAACCAGAAAAAAATTAACTGAAAAAGCAAGTTCTATGATACACAGTTCCCCAAAACTGAATTTATTTTCTTTAAACATTTCTCTTCTTATATTTAATTTAAACTACAATGTGACTTTTCTGCATAAAGTGATGTGCAAACTGAACCACAAACAAATTTAAATGATTAGCAGAATATTCATAACTGTGGGAAGAAACAACATTTAGCAAAATATAGGATTTTTAGATCTGTTTCTCAATATAGGATAAACTTCCTCAAATACAAAGCTGAAGGGAAAAAGACAAAAACCAAAGTTTCCAACTACAGTATGGCACCAATATTCAAGTTCTATTTGATAGGTTAGGTATACAACTCAATCTTTGCTCATGCTGTAGACAAGCTTTTTTCATTTTTTACAACAATAAAAAAATAAACACAAAGGTAAGACAAATGGTAGTAGATGCAATTACTGCATCAACCATAGCTAAATAATTTTATTGAGTATTTAATCCCGATTTAATATGGGATAATAATATGCTCTTAATTGAAAGAGATTTATTATCAGTCTGGAAAGTCATAATAAGTGACATTCCTTTGCAGAGAACAGTTAAATATTTCCACTCATTCTTGAACAGAAAAGATGCTACTTGGATGCGTATTCTACAATGGGGCAGGATCAGAATTCAAAATGACAAGTTTCAGAAAATAGAGTAATTTAAAAAACAAAGGCATTCAAAAGGAATTAATGAATATTTCCACACTTTAAATGAATAATTAATTGCAGAAATTCAGGAGGAAAAGAGCTGATGAGGTAGCAACTCTATAAAATTAAGTTCTAGGTATTAACAGGGGATCATGTATTAGACTCACCAATATCACACCATTAGCTGAGGAAAAGCAAAACCTGACCTACTTGAATCTGCTTTGAGCAGGAGCTGGGCCTGGAGGACCTGCAGTGGTCCTTCCCATCAAAAATTACTCTATTATTTTATATTTTTTACATTACTAGTTTTCAGTTTCATCCATTCAGTTTTAGATACTGCTGTTCAAGAGAAACATGAATCAAGATCTGCAAAACAGGATGAGGAAAGATGGAAAGAATATAGGTTGTTACACTAAACCAAGAACAGACAGGGAAGTGATAGAAGTACTCAACACATACAAAGCTGTCGCAGAAAGGAACCAGAAAAGTTATTTTCTGTAGAGGGGACGGGAATTAAAGGCCTGAAGCTATAGCAAAAGAAATGAAGGTTAGAAATCAGGAGACACTTCATAATGGTAATTACAGTTAAGTGCCACAGTAGGTTATCTAAGAATTTGGACTGTTTTGCTAGAATAAAAGCTAAGCTCAATCATCTCTTGCTAAAAAAAAAAAAAAGTCAAGAAAACAGCTACCTGTGGCAACTGTTTCTGATGTGAAAAGAACATTCACCATCCAGGGGGTGAAATAATGACAGCTGAAAAATTGTCCATTTCAGCTGTGAGGTTCTATGTTTTCGGAATTTTCAAAAATGTCTGGAACTTCTTTATCAACAGTAGTTAACTCAAATAGATTATCCCACATTAAACTGGGATTAAATACTCAAAATTATTTAGCTACACTTTAAATCATAAAATTTGTTTCTGACAGAGCAAGAAACCTGGTTCAGATGTAAAAAACCTCAGACTTGTGCTTCCCAAATATAGCATTCTATATATGCCTCTGTCGGCATTATGAAATTCCTATGTAGCTTTTAGTGCTCACGCACACAGTTCTTAGACATTTGCTCTCTGAATTGTTCAGACATTTACAGAGTCACACGTCCCCCAATATCTCTGGAATCTTGAGAAGATTCTTGACATTTTTTTTCTGTCTTCCATTCCACGCAATCCTGAATTATATGGGGCAGATTTAAATGTGTGTGATATCAAGGAGGCAATATAATTGCCAATTCATGCTTTTCTGTCTTGTTTACTTAGTAAGGACAGCAGGATTTTCTTCACTGAGCCATCCATACATTCGTGCATATTTTCCTGTAAGATGAGTACAGTAATACTCAATCCCTTTATCTGTTCTGCTAATGCTTTTTTACACTTTGTTAAAAAAAAAAAAACTAAAATACGTTCAGTGAAGATTGATACAGAAGAGCACCCATAAGCCAGATAAGTACTAAAAGTGAGAATGCAGATAAGCTAGTAAATGCAAGTAAACATTTTTCTGAGAAAATTTACTGCAAAGTACACTAAAGCTATTGCAAATAAAGACGGTCACAAGAAAGAGTAAAGTGAGATGTAGATTAAAAATTATATCTGCAAAAAGTAGATATATCCTTGAAAAATATTTATTGAGTAGTATAAAAAAATTACTAAAATTAATTCAAGCATATGACTCCAAATGACAGATGACTGCTGTTTTCATACAAACTTTCTGTTTACATTTACTGTTGATGAATAAAGACATTTTGCCTTATTGGTAAGGTGATGTCCTCCTGGCTGTGTGGTGAACTTTAATCACGGTGATTCTCTTCAGTGACAGTGAATATGAAATAATCAGATGACAGTATGGCATTGTCATACATTATCATCAGAGGGGGTAGCACTCTCCTGGATGCAAAAAAGCAGATTACATGAAGTCATAGAGAGATTGCATAAGGTCTTTTTTTAATATAAAGATTTTTCTGAAGTCCAAAAATCAAATAAGCTAAAAATTGGATGGATTTCAAAAAGAAATAAGAAGGAGTCAAGTTTTAATTGCATTATGTTAAAGTCCAGATTAAATGATCAAAATGTTTTCTTTTTACTTTATGTGCTAAGCCTCAATGAATGTAAACAATTGGTTTTCTCATAATAACTCTCTAAATTGCATCATTTCTGTGATACACAAGTATTCAATCTCCAAAGATGTTTTCATTAGGGATGTCAGTATAACAGGTTTTCCATTACACATTTTCATGTGTTCTACTTGCAAAATTTATCTGTATTCATTTTTTAATGTATAAATTGAATCACAAATGTAAAACTTCCCTATACAATAACAGATTTCTGTCTTATGTTTCTACATGTTGAATTAACATTGTAGCTTTTCAGATTTCTTTTAGTTTTAAAACACACAACTAACATTTGAATGAAAACCCATTTATTCTATACAAATGTGGGCATGGAAAAAAATGTATTGATAGAATTTTTTATATTTGTTTTTCTTAACCTATATGTTTTCTTTTCAGATTTGGACAGGAAAGACTTACTTGAATTATTCCTGTGAGCTGTATTATACTTCAATTACAAGGATATTACTAGAATTGACAAAATAAATTCTACATTTCAGATAATTCCAAATTTAATCCTTATGGGTAGTTATCAGAGATATGGATTGGTCATTAATACTTTCAACATGGACATATATATTTTTTAAGACCTTTCTATTATTATCAGTATTGAAAAAAAAAACCAAACCACACAATAAAAAAAATGTGGAAGCCTTGATGATGAAAAGAGGAAAGCCACCTTCAAGATTTGCCACTTTTAGAACAGAGAATTTTAATCACTAGCTTCTGTTCACCAGAGATACTAGAGTTAAGATGCTGCCATATCTAATTAACATTTATGTCAGATGTAAGGAATACACAATAGGTTTTCACAGTTGGCAGTCAAAATTCAAGTGGGAGAGGTGAAGCAAGCCACTAGTTACAATCAATCAAAACAATGTAATATATTAGACACCTCACCAGTCATTTGAGCCAGGATATTCTAATAGAAGAAACTAAGGCCAGACACAAGAAAACACCAAAGTTGCCTTCCTCCACTATACCATCTGTAATAAAAATTAATTATGAATATCCTTATTTGACATATTTTAACATATTTCCTGAAAGGTTCCCTCGTATGACTTCTTTGGTCATGAAACATATAATTATGCTCTGATAAATCACGGTCTAAAGAACTAAAGCCGTAGTTGTTCTTTTCTGCAGTTTCAGTTCTCATTTTGTCAGGCTTGTAAAAAAAAAATAAATTCTTTTTCTTTATTCCCCCACAACTTACTCTCAACTTTGGCCAGACTTGAAATTAGTTCAGCTGCATCCCAAGAATGTATACTAAGTTTCCATTCCAGTAAAGCAAAACAGATATGAGCAGATGCCTATTTCAAGCAAAATCACTTGACTCAATAAACAACAGAACATGAAATCATTTAACTGTTGCAACACTGCAGACTGTACTAACCTGTTTTTCATCTGAACTGGATCATACTGTCTTCATGAGAAATTAAG